CTTCGGGTTGCGACCAATTCGGGGTGCGACCAGAGTCATGGAACGAATTAAATTCATAACCTGAGGTTCCACTGTATATGAAAGCCATCAATATGATCATACTTAACTATATTTCTCTGTATCATCTGAATCAGGAAAGGCTATACAGACTGTAGGCAAGATCTCATCAAGGCAAAGATGCTGCAGACAGATATTAATTCCCTTGTCTAAGAATTAGTGAGGCTAGCTACCTTAGATGGATTGGTGTTCTCTTTGAAGGAGAAAGTGCAGAGACTGAGGTATTCCTAAACTCATGTTTACCAATTGAGGTTCAAGTAGCCTTCATAGTTAACAATGTTTTCCCAAAGTTGGCTGGTTCATTAACATAATTCCAGAATACAACCTCCTGGTCACAATGAAAATTGACTTAATAACCTCAAGGGTGAACCACTGTTAAGGAATTTCTATGGGGTTGTCTTGGAGATTGGCTCAGAAGCTACAGCAAGCGCAAAACACAGTATCTGGACCGCCAATGCAATCCACCTACAGTGATATTACCTCTGTCCTAACAGAGCTGCACTGGATGCTAATATCCAACCAAGTCAAGTTCAAGGAGCTTATGATGATATATCAAGCCTTATACAACCTCAAACCTAAATATCTGATGGGTTGCCTTCTTATAAATTTCTACAACTAAGATGGAGCAAGAAAAGCCTCAACAGGCCTATGCTTGTGAGTAATTTACTAGGCAGCTACTCAATGTACACTATTTTAGACACTGGATCCCAATTGCGAAATTTCCCCCTTCCTTAGTCCCAACTAGCACTGAAACCTCTTAGCTTTCAATACTAGCTGAAGATCCTCGCTCAGACTTGGGCACACTTCAGTTTTAACTTCAGTAATTTTATACTGATTTACGGTTTTATTGTATCCTGATTGGGGATTATTTTAATCTGAAACAGGTAAAAGTTTTATGAATTAATATACACTACTCAGCTACCCATCCTCTGGATAATTTCCAGATAATAATTTTATATTTATTCATCTTTATTAAAAAGTACCCTGCCTTTTTTCCAAGAAGCTCATGATGGCATATTATATGAGGCAGTACAGACTAAGAGATGCAACTTTAAAATCTCACCTGAATATTTCATTTTTAGTAGTTATTTCTGTGTCTTGGCAATGCTTACAGCACAGAGAGGTACACTACAAACAAGAAGACAAATGTTAGTGAGAAAAAGAAAATTGAGTTTCTGACCAATATACCCAACTTTTTACTTGTAAAAGACTTTAGATATAAATTGCAATTATATAATTCAAATGACATTAAATATCTAAACAATACTGTTTTTGTAGAATAACTATATCAATTCTTATTCTATCCAAATACCATAGTAAAATAAACAGGGTTACTTGAAGTTTCACATTTTTCAAACAGAAGTCACTGTAAAATCTGTGTTTACACTATGGAACATGCAGTTCTTGCCAAAAAGACTAGAACCAAATTACTGAATAATTATTTTAATAAAAATATAAATTGCTTTGGAGGGGTATCATTTGATTACAATTCTTATTATCTGGAAATTATCCAGAAATGGGTGGTAAACATCTGTGTTCCCACTCCCTAGCCCCCACCCCCACCCTTTGGTAAAATACATGCAAAAAATTTATTTGTTCTTCAAACTCACAACTCGATGGAAGTTTTTTTGGTTTGTTTAAAGAGAAAAGAAGTGAAATTACATGTGTAGATGGTTCACATGTACTAGCTATTACACGAAGGCTAAACCATCACTGGCTAGAAAAGTTAAATTGTTAATTTAAGAGCCTTATGCTGAAATTACCATGCTAAGAAATATTCATAGGGCCACAACAACGCTGGATAGCCCATCTTCTCTGAACATTGGTCAGACTAGTAAAAGCTAAAACAATTATTTTTAATATACAGGACACAGTTAATATATTGGGTGATTATTTTCAGCATACATTTCACTTTTATGCAAGTCTCCTCAAATTAGTCCTATTAGGAGTTGGTCTTCTTAAGCATAACACGACTGAAGGAAGTTAGAGTCACTCACTCACTTTGTTCATAATATCTAGTTCACAGCGCAGTCGCTGAACAGCACTACCAATTTTAAGCAGCTGAATTCGCAAAACATCATCAATTGGTAGGCATGCTGCAACTCTATATGAAAAATCTGGAAGAAAAACAATGGTCATTCTACATATTTAAAGAGAGACAAAAGACTGAAGGAACCCACATTAGGCAGGCCACTAAAAATAAATTGTCACAATTTACAATTAACTTCTCTTAACTTCAGATCAGCTGGAACAAATCAGATTGCTTTCTCCAAATAGATATTAACTATGCTTGGGCAGAGTTGTCTTTAGTTTTATTATAGCTTGCATCCTATAAAAGTAATAGGGTCTCAGGAAATAATACAATTATAAAAAAACAAGCAGATCTGCAACTTTGACAGAGTGATGATATTGCTCTTCTGATGCAATTAAATAAAGCCACATTACACATACAGCAAATTAGGGCAAATGTATAAAAACCAGGTTAAAGAAAGGAATGGCAAATTGGTATTTATAGTAATAGTTCTTGTTCATCACTCTGTTTATTCATCTGCAGAACTACATAAAGTTGTCCTTCTACAGGGATTTCACATATTAGTGGTAATATATATTGTTATTCAACAAATGTAAGCTGCAACACACAAGGTATTGCAAGTGGTTGCCACATAGGAGTGTAATGTGTGGTACTGCTGATGATTTTCTAACAACTTATGTAAGTGGGTGTAAGTCTAACTTCTTTGTAAAAGTTGCATTAAAAATACAAAGCTGTATTTTTACTCTAACTCTGTTTTGATGTATGATCAGTTAAACTTATTTGATGAAGACTATTATCAAGAACACAACTCATTATTTATTAGAGTACCTATTGGGTTTGATGGAAGCGATTCATCTTTAAGATTTTCATCCCACTCGTGAAGCTGCTGCTTGACCCGTTCCATCAAGGTTTCCTTGTGTTATAAGAAAAACCTAATTTAAACATAAAAACTTCTTTTTTTGTTAATAAAATAAGAAAAAGGAATTGTTGAGAAAAAAGGTTTCTCATTATAACTGCAATATAAGCTTCTTAAAACTAAAGTGCTCTATTTTGAACACTGGTAGAAATATTAACAAACAACATTGTTCACTGGCAATAATGACAATTAGCACCTCCTCTGTTGTTTGAAAAGTTCAAACATAGCTTTGCTCATGTTCAAATTACCTGAGACAAATTTATATTGTATGTATGCAAAGGACCTCCATTCGTGGGATGGAGATGATGTTGGCCCTGTATCCCTAAGTGGATAAATTGAGGGTGAAATACTGGCATAGCTAGTCCACAGAACTTACAATGCCCTGAAATGCTTTTTAACCAGATACTAGAATCCCTGAATTTACTCCAGTTGTACACTTTTGTATACCAAATGCAGGCAGGTCAACAATTTAGCTCAGAATGAAAGGCAAAAGGGAAACAGTAGCAATTTAACACATTAGGGTTTATAATTCTACCAACAGAAGGAGCTTAATTTGTTAAAGGCATCTGATTTTATTTATTTATTGTATATACTTCTATGACACCTAGTCAACACCAATGGCTTACATTTAACAAAAACAAAAAACTTGGTACCTTAAAGCAGCAACTATAAATAGAGTAGAAAAATATGAAATCCTATAGCTATCATTAAAACCAGATACTCCTTCTGCTTTGAAAACCTGAAGTACTCAAAGTTTCATTGGAAGAAGGGGTGTTTTGGTCACCCTCGGAGGAGCTAGTGTTACACCTCCTCATCAAAAAGCCACCCCGGACCTGATAATCTTGGAGAACTGTTGCCTAGCCTTCAACCTCCATTTTCTAGGGAAAGTGAAGCAGATTTTCTAAATTTATGGGCCAGAAACAGCACTGATTGCTCTAGTCAGTCCTGGATTGGGAGGCCCTAGCCACAGTAATTCATGCACTTATTGCCATTTGTCAGGATTACAGCAATATATTCTAAATGGACTGCCACTGAAGGCCACACATTTTATGGGCACTGCATTGGTTACCAGTAGGTTTCAAGGTGCAATTCAAAATACTGATTTTAACCCATAAGGACCTATATAGCTTGGCACTTAGGTACCTGCAGGATTGCCTCCCTTGTATAGAAATGGCCCTCTCAATACCCCCTGTGCACATTTCCTGCTGAACGTGCCAGTTCACTCATCCTACCAACATTTTTTAATGGATTCCCGGGCCTCTGTGATGTGAGGAGTAGGGTCTGTAGACAATGCTTCTTAGTTGCACACCTCATATTATTAATCCCCCTCCACAGGTTAAGCTGGTACCCTCATTGTTGGCCTTCTGGAAGCTACTCAAGGTAGCTGTTCTGCAAGCCGTTTGGAGAATGCATGGTCACCATTGTGCTTATTGTATCATTATTTAATTATTTATTTTGGAGTTATGTTTAGTGAGTATGTTTTTATGTTTTAGTGAGTTATGTTTTTACAATGTAAACAGCTGAGGGTTGCTTTCTGAGTCCCATGGCATACAAGCAAATAAACCAAGTAAAGTAAAAGCACAATTCAAATCATGGGAATGCATAAACACACTAAATGTACCCCACCGTATTTGAAAGTCTAAAAGACCACATAAAACATAAAAAGTTGAACACAATACAAAGCAGGACTGAAGTCTTCGTTGATACTTACAGCGTCATATAAAGAATATAACCAAGATGGCCAGGAAGTCAGACTAGCACAGTGAAACTTGCGCTGTAACACAAATACATTTTCTTTATTATAGATCTATAGTTTTGTACATAACAAAGGTAAGAGAGTGCCCCTCTAAAAAGTCAAGCAATTTAAAATATTTCCTATAATAATCTCCTTCCCACTCACAATTCATCTTGCAGTGGCATCGCTATTCACCTCTGTTCCCTATCACCAAGGAACAAGCACACCTTTGGAATCTCAGAACATCTAGCTGGAAGTGGCATTAACTTCCAGCTAGATGTTAAAATGAATGAAACTCATTCCAAGCACGTACATATTTGAATTAAAAATTAAAAATGTATACTAATTTTAGGCACCATCAAGTCAGAGTTTTCACAGTATTAATTCCAAAGACTGTAGTTTAATCACACATCATCATCATTATTTTAGAAGTGCAGTATTTTTATAAATCCTAGCAATCAAATCCAAGGAATCTCACTGATATAATCACAGGGTGAAATAATCCTGAATGTAAACTGTCCTATTTTCATCTGCTAAAATCTGACACTTTAACTAGAGATGAACTAACCCCAAGTGGACAAACATTCATAAAAGAATAAAAGAGGAGGGAAACCCTCTTGCATGCCTCTTCTCGCTATTATCTAAATGGCAAAAATCAAGTATGTGCTAGTTTAAATAAAACACTAACTCTGTATTTAAAAATGATAAAACATTTTGCTGAAACATCTTTTTTTAAAAAAAATGCATTTAGAAAAATAGAGAGCAGTCTGGAATACAAGCTATTTCTGCAAGAATCCTCTCATTAAATTATGGAAGGACAGTTTTAGTCATGCATTTGCCAGCTCCCTTATCCCAAAGTCAGGAAGGTTATTCATTTCAGCAAAAATTACCCTGCCCCTGAAAGTGCAAAGCATAATATGTGACAACCCAAGACAGACTATTCTCAGTACATGTTACAAGTTTGAGGAATTCTATCCCTGTTCAAGGATGCTTTTAGCCATAGCACAGGAATTTCTCTTCACCCAGACATTACATTAAACTGGAGTTGTTGCATTTTTTGTTCTGGTCTTGTTGCCTCATGTTTTAGAGCTTTTAGAGGTTTACTGAGTTATCTTTTAATTATTTTAAACTTATTGTTAGCTCAAAATGTTAAAAATAAAAAAAATTACATTCAAAATAAGCCTGTAAATTATTGAGTTCTACATCGTGTAGATGTTGACTTGCCAGCTGAGAGTTACCAGATTTACTCTGGTTTAAACCCATCCTCATTTCTATTTTATGTGACATGGCTGTATTTCTTTGGCCCTTTCTATAGGCATGTTGCTTCTACAAAAGCTGGACAATGAGAAAGAAGGTAGAACATTTTGAATTATGGATTGGTTTGAATTACTGAATTATGGTTACTTATGAATACCAATGACCACAAACAGAACAGAACAGAACCACATACCATCTTGGTCCAAATCAAGGCTTATTGCTTCCTTGAGGTGATGATCACAAATAAAATCTGATATACTATGGGCATGAAGTGCAAATGGATGATGGACTAGAAAAAAATTACTCTTTGGCAAGATCCAATGAAGGAAAAGATAATAGATAGTGGATGATAGGATCAAAGAGATTCCTGGAATGTTCCATTAACCCATCCTCCTTCCGGGAAGTCAGTAAGCCAGGTACAAAGGCAGCGGTCTTTTCCATTTGTTTCCCAGTAGCTAACATTAAAAGATCCCTTGTCTCAAAATAAATTAATAAATAAATAAAAAATAAGCCTCTATGCAGTACTATTTATGGTGCTGGGCATGCAAGATGACAAGAATGAGGATACTGAAGTCTTTCCATGAAAGTAGTACCCATTTCAGTCTCTTTTCAGCCCAACTGGATTATAACTCTCATCTTCCCCAACAATGACTATGTTAGCTGGGGATGAGAGTTATAGCCCAACATATCACAAGAGAAACAAGTTGCCCTTCGTCAGCAAAGATAAACCAGCAAGTCAATACAGGAAAAAAAGCACCTGCCTTTCTAAAGTAAGCACTGAAGGAATCTGGTACTGGAAGATTATTCTAAGATTTTAAAAAAGTTAGCTAAACTAATGCTATGGGGAATAATTGCATTTCTAACTCTGCACTGAAAGAAGTTATCACAGCAGGTACGCAAACAAGTCAAGATTATTATGAAAGCGTGCTTTTATAAAAAATATATGATTGCTTTACACTGACAGGGAAGCAAATTTTTAGGAATATCTGGCTAGGAACAGATAAGGACAAAAATGCAGAAAGATATAAGTTGTTACTATGTATCCCTAAAAAGCATAAGAAACTGATTAAAATATAAAATATAAATATGTGCATGACTGATATATGGAAGAACTATGTAATCAAAAATGCCAAGGAATGAAGCACAAATTCCAAAATTCAAAACCCTTTATCTATTTTTACATTTCTAGGCAAAAGAGAACACATATTTTTTCTGATCAAAGAACAAACCTTAGTTCCAGCTTTATACATTTTTCCTTTTAATATAATATAATTTGAATTTGGGACAAGGGAAAATTATTTTAAAGCTTTGCTTTAACGTTCTTGGCTTTCAAATCAACTTCTAAAGTCCTGCTTTTACTGTTTGCCCTACTTTGTCAGGATTTTGTGTGAACATGCTTTAGCATCTCATTCTCCAGAGAAGTTAAGATGTCAACTGAAGGTCTACTTATCTTTAAATACATACTACAGCTGTCTAGGACAAGAGATAATTATCAGGATAAGTTCTATTCCTGAAGATTTCACTAATTCATAAAACACTCTTTTTTTTTGTGCCTTCAAGTCAGTCTTGACTCCTGGTGACTTGCAGTTTTCCTCGCGAGATTTCAGAAGCAGTTTGCCCTTGCCTCCTTCCTAAGGCTGAGAGAGAATGACTGGCCCAAAGCCACCCAGGTGGCTTCACGCCTAAGGCAGGACTAGAACTCATGGTCTCCTGGTTTTAGCCTAGTGCCTTAACCACTACACTAAACTGGCTCTCTCATAAAACACTACACACAATCAAAATATTTGCTGCTGCTTCTTAGTGTTTCTTAAGTGCCAGCAAACATCCTGAATTTCTATGGGGAGATTAAAGCCGCGGTGAAGAAATAGTTGCTAGGTTTACCCTCTCTCTTTTCCCCTTTAAGTGATGTTTGAAAAGATGGTAAATTCCATCTTTGATTCTGGATGGGGTGGTTCTGCCCCAGACAGACCCAGTGCGCAATCTGGGGATCCACTTGGACTCACAGCTCCTGCCGGAAGAGCAGGTGGCAGCCATGGCTAAGAGGGCCTTTGCACACCTTCAGGTTGTGCATCAGTTGCACCCATTCCTGGACCGGGAGGCTCTACTCACTGTCACTCATGCCCTCGTAACCTCCCGTTTGGACTACTGCAATGCCCTTGAAGAGCTCCCGTTTGGACTATTGGGGCTGCCCTTGAAGAGCATTCAGAAGCTTCAGCTAGTACAGAATGCAGCTGCCCAGGTTGTAAATAGTGTTGGCTATTTGGCACATGTAACACCACTGCTTCCGGAGCTGCACTGGTTGTCAGTGTGTTTCTGGGTGCAATTCAAGGTGCTGGTTGTCACCTATAAAGCTCTTCATGGCTTGGGACCGGGTTACCTTAGGGACCATCTTTTCCCAGTTGTTTCTACCCATCCAATCCGGTCCAGCAGGTTGGGCATGCTCCGGGTCCCATCAGCCAAGGAACGTCAGCTGGCGGGGACCAGGAGACATGCTTTTCTGCTGTGGTGCCTGCCCTCTGGAACATCTTCCCTCCTGAGATTAGGATGGCCCCGACCCTTTTGACTTTTCAGAAGGCCTTGAAGACCTGGCTTTATGCCCGGGCCTGGGGCCCCAAGTGTGTGAAGGGCCCCGTTTCATGGTCATGTTGATACCAACAGTTTTTTTAGATCTCTTGGCTGCATTTATATTATATTTAATTTTTGTACAGTTTTTAATGTTGATTGTTTCTATTGTTGCTGACCGCCCAGAGTCACTGGTTTGAGATGGGCAGCTATATAAATTGAATGAATGAATGAATGAATGAATGAATGAATGAATGAATGAATGAATCTTCCCATCAACCAAAATGATGGGCTACCCTACTAAACTTATATATAATGGTCTAGACAATGAACTTAAAGGGGCACTTGGCAAAGCAACTTTGAAGCATTAAAAGCATTATGTCCTACCAAAGTCTTGGCTGAGCTGAAAGATTTTCCATTATCTGTGCGTAACAGATAACAGGGAAAATATATCCATTGGGACATGGTAGAAAAGTGTAGTAAAGATGATTCTGGATTGCAGTCTGGTCCCTTAAAATATGGTGAAGACATCAGATGAGTTCAGAAACTCCTCTCCCCCCCCCCATAGAAATCAAGAGCAATTGCCTACAGCCCACAAGTTATAATTAGAGGGAAAATGTCAGGGATAATCAGGAATAAAATGGTCCTAAAAGACAGTATATGTTGTGGAGGCTCTAGATGCAAAATGTAGAATGCTTAATATTTAGGTCAGTTCTGAATCTAGCTGTGTTCTAATTAAACATTGTTGAATTAAACTGAACTCATAATGCTGTAACTTCATGAAACAAACTAATCATGCACATTTGCATGTATGAGGCAGACATCTTGGAGGTTAAATGCCCATCATCTTCTGCCAGTCTATATGAAAACATTTGATAGCAAAGAAGCAGGAAAGTTATTTTCACAGGGTTTATGTATCTCGACCATTACAACTACTGTACATACTGCATTAATATCAAAACTGCCAGCCAACTTCACCTTGTCTAGCTATCCCTGAGAAAATTACATACATGAAACCTTCAGCAAAATGTTGCACTGTAGAATGATCTTGTTCCATACCACAAAGGCATTCCATTATATTCCCCTTATCCTTGCCTCCCCGATTCCCTCCATGCTCTGAATCTTCATTGGTTATTTTTAAGCATCAACAAATTTTTCTAAGGTATTTTTAGAACTACTGCAATTCTTGTGCATGTTGTTGTTCTAGTTGTTAGTTAATAAGCCTACTATCAGTATATAAAATACAGCACACAACCAAACTGATCCTGAATTTGTCAATGATCCATCTGCCTTCATGACACTGTGTCATAAATGTATGCCCAACCCCAACTTGGTGACTTCAATTTTGTGCTGAGAATGCAAATCTCAGAATTCCTAGTTTGTTAGACTTTGCACTGCAGGCTACAAGTCCAGTTAAGCTCTTGACCTTTGTTCTCCCAATTCTTATTGAACAATATGATGGGTAGCATCTTCAAACTACAGCCTTTCTCAACTGGTTGTCCTCTAGAATTTCAGATCCTAAAATTGTCCCAGTTGCTGGTCATACTGCTTGACAATTCTGGGAACTGTACCCACAATATATTCAGAAGGCACTGGGCTGGAGAATAAGTAACCCCCCCCCCTTTTTCCCCTAAACTTAAGCCTCTTATTAGCTTCCTTCCTTTTTCATTCCAACAAAAACCACCCTTTCCTTCCAAAAAATAATACTAATAATAATCAAAATGTAATCAGAATTAACTATGACTTCCTAAGATAAAATATATTACCAAGCACTGGTCTGAACTGATAAGCCACCAGAACAATTGGCAGCTGCTAAAGTAATAGCAGCACCAGCAGAGGGTTGATAGATACTATCACATTTTGCACATTTTTTTTAAAGAGATACAGAGATGGAATTTTTATTGATTTTTGAAATGTCACAAAAGAACATAATTAGCTTCTGACCTTTTGGTATTTCTGTCGCCATTGATGTATCTGTTGATCCTGCCATGCTGCGGGCTTAGAGGAAGGAAAAATGTGGCATCTGCTGTGGGATTCCAGCTGCACTGCGGACATAGTTGAAGGCAGCACTCGCTCGGGAAGGATCTGTACTTTGGCCTGCTGTAGGCTGATAAAAAAATTCCATACAGTATGAAAACCGCACCCATTCACTTCTATGGGCTACATAAGTACAGCTAGTTATTTACTCCTTCAGTTCCATAAACCTCTGAAAAAGCACAGCAGGACATTGCACATTTTAATTTAATTCAATACATTCTAAAAATCTCTACTTCATGATTTCAGCACATAAATACCGTCCACCCATCTTTTTGACTTAGACTACTTCAAAAGTTCCATGGGTATGGTAGTTGTTTCAGATTAGAATTTAGCCTGTTCTTTTAAAATGGAACAGTTCTAAAGCCAGATGGTAAAGTTCTGGTCTCAACTTTTTTGTGACTTGCTTCATTCAGTTAATCCTGGTATTATTCAACAAGTATTTGACCACATGAAAATCCATTTTTACCTGAATAGCAATTTAAGACATATACGTAATATAATTAGTCCTAACTCAAAATTTGCAGAAATAGAAAGTAATCTGTAATCTTGAGAAAACATTATCCTTTCCCAATTAAAACAATATTGTATTAAAAGAACTATAGATTTTACTTAAAGGATCATATATATTTATATATTTGCATAGATCCTGTTAACAAGGACCATATATGAGTTCTATACATAAGTTATTGAAAAAATATTGGCATCTGTTCCTCTAATTCAATAAAATAAGGTTTTAAATTTTAAGTTTCCAAGGGGTTTTATTTTATGTTTTTGTTATGTAAATATTTTGTATGATTTGGATAATACGGTCACTATAGTTAAACATGTCTGATTGCAAATACTTCCTGAGTTCCAACATGGCTCATCAGTGACCCCCAGAAGATTGTTTAAAATTTACTTTGTAGTTCTTACGTTGTCTATCAGCATCTTCCACCTTTGCAAACTAGTAAAACAAACTTAAAAGGAACCTAAAAACTTATTTTAGGTTTCTTTCTGTTGTTAGTAGAGAGCAGATGTCATTGTCATAAGACAAGAAAACCATGAAACAAAGCCAAAAAGATTATTGGACCAGAAGACACAAGAAACAATGGGTTTCAGTTGCAAGGAATTTCACTTGGGCATCAGGAAAAAAAAATCCCAATGAGAAGAGCTGTTCAACAATGGAACAGAGATCCCCAAGAGGTAATGGATGTGGAGCTGTTTGAACAGAGGCTGGATGGCCATCTCTCAGGGAAGCTACAGAAGTGGATTTCTGCATTGGGTAGGGGATTGGACTAGATCAGCGTTCTCCAAAGTGGTCAACAGTGACCCCCAAGGGTCAATGGGACTATCCAAGGGGTCAGTGTGGTTGTTGTTATTATCTGTATTATTAAAGTAGTATTTATTAAATTATTTTCATATAATAAATGATTGGGGTTCAATTGTCAATCTGAAACTTCATGAAGGGGGTCAATTGGGGACCCTTGGACTAGATGTTCTCCAAGATTCCTTCCAACCTTCCATTATGATTTATGACTGATAAACTGTGTGGACTCATGAGAAATTAGCATACAGTCAGTCTCATTCACAATTCGTCATAGACCCTGATGAGTCTGTATCATTTGAACATGGTCTTGCTATTAAGACAATTTGGTCATGCATAGCATTTAGGTATATAGTCTGCCCAATCTGAACAGCTCATTTCTTCATCTAAAGGTCAGATCCTTTACACCAGTATTTCTCAACCTTGGCAACTTTAAGATGCTGGCTGGGGAATTCTGGGAGTTGAAGTCCACATATCTTAAAACTGGCAAGGTTGAGAAACAGTGCTTTACGTTATAACCAAGGGCTACACTTGGGATTTGAGTAAAATGACTGGGGAGCGGGTAGTGAGCAGAAGAACACGAATGAATCTGATTTAATTAAATTTTTAATCTAAAATCAAAATAAAAAACTCTAAATCTAAAATAGAACAGATAATATGTTATATCCCAAGTGTTCAATAATTTTCTACCTGTCATATTAAAAATTACAATTCAGCAGCAACACTTGGAAGGAGTTTGAGGGAGTAGCTTGCAAACTTATAAGGGTAGCAGAGTGTAGCCCTCCTGCTCAACAATCTATATTTTCCTAAAGATCAGAACAGCTGGACAGTATTCAGCAGTAGGCTTATTCCAGCAGATAGGCTTCACCATGGCCAATCACATGCCAATGGGACACCCAGAAACAGGACACAAACACAATAGCATTCTCCTGCTCTCATTCCTCAGCAACTGGCTACATCTGTTTTATCTGGATGAACATGGACTACAAGTATCATGAAAAAGTTATCAATCTTATTTCAAAACATTTTCTTAACATATACAGCTATGGCTGACATTAATGTATGCTGCCATCTTGTGTTCAAATGGCTATATTCCTAGGATATTTTTTTTTTCAACTGTGCAAAAAAATATATAAATTACTTTAAATACATTGTATAAATGAACTGATGCAAATGATAGTCCACTCACATTTTTCCCAGATTCCTTTTCAGAAAATGCATTCTAAGTTCCCCCCAAATTTCTGTACATATGTATGTGTATGTGTATATGCATATGTATATATATTATATAGTCTCATGTACAGATCCTTTAATGTCAATTTTTGTGTGCACTCATTAGGATACAAACTTGTCTTAAAATATAATTCCCCTAATATGTTTTATGCAACTTTTGTACTATTAAGTCCATATCTGCAATTATCTTTTAATGCATTCCAATTCATATACAATTCAGGAAGAACAAACTGGATAAGTTTGAAACAACTCATGAAGCAAACCCATCTGTCATTCCTTACTCAACCTTAGTTAATTTTAAAATGCTAAGAAGGGTTTGTTCTGTTAAGTACATGAATGGAATTTACAACAAGAAAATACCAGGACTGTAGGTTACACAGGGAAACGGAAATCCTGAAAAAAAAAAAATGTTGGCTTCCACTTCCATGTTTCTTTAAAAAAAAAAAAAAAAACCCTGCACAGGTGGGTCTATATTTTTT